AGGAACACTGAATAACCGTTTCGTTCTTGACGAGACTCTTTATTAGTAATCTGTACTATTCTTGTGTCTCTGTAAGGGCTCGAATTATGAACACCGACTGGACTTGAGCCCTCTTAATTCCGAGATACATGGTGGAAAACCAACCCGTTGATTATTATATATCATTATATTTCATACGCGTCTGAGTCTAGATTTGTTTGTTGGTTTCAGTTTTCAGTTTGTAAAACCATTAACCGTCCCGATTTCGTGCGCCGACCTTGGTTGCTGTCTTTAAGCTGCGCATTTGGATGAACGAGTAGAAGAAAGATCAGAAAGTTGAAAGTGGAATCCAAGAAAAAGTGGAGAATTTCAGTGAACTAAGTTTGTGTAGAAATTAAGATGATGTCTTATCATTCAGTGTCTCTAACAATTGATTACTATGATCTTGAAGCCCCATCCAGAGGGCCTAACGCGACCCAAACTATCTTGATCAGCTTGCTACTTACCCCGATTTTCACTTAGGGGTGCATCGTCTGTACACCAGATCAGACAGTCTGCCACCCGGGAGCAAATCGATGTCTCTATCCTCGCTCGCGGACAGGGCTGTTTCCAGAACCGATTTCTGTGGTGAACTTGGATGAAAAATTGCTGTAAGCTCCGATTCGGCTTCAGCTATTAGTATGAATGGATCGCACACTTTTCAGGGATAGGTAGCCCCAGAGTTTAGAGCGGTCGACTGAGTCGAAAGGCTGCTTTCAGAGCGGGGAAGACAGAGATGGTGGGTCTACGGAAGGAATGTCGGTACTCCAGAATTTGTGAAGAGTGAAGATGTGGTCGATACAACCTGGGCCAGGTCTTAAACCAGCCTGATTCTCACATGTGCACTCTTCATGTGAGGCAGACAATCGACGGAATATTACCCCGGCGAGAAGTTTAGAGGCAATATTGATTAAACGAACTCCTCTGTGGTTTTCACAAGAGGATCTATCACCTTTCTTGCGAATCGGAATGATGACCGATTCACACCATTCAGTTGGAACCTGTTCCCTCCCCCATACTGAGCCCAGGAGTTTTGTCAACTCCAAGGCCAAGGCTGGCCCTCCATTTTTAAAAGCCGATGAGAATAGCCCATCTGGGCCAGAGACTTTATGCCTTTTGAGATAAGTTATATCCCGGGAAACCTCCATTTTAGATGGAAGACTGGCATCAACTGTGAGTATTTGCCCGGTCGAGGTGGAGAGGGTCAGATGTTGGCGGTGGTCAGTTGAACTGAACCTCGAAATTCTCAGCCCATCGACCAAGAAAGCGTTGCTGATGACGAATCAGTGTGCCATCGGATTCCCTAATCACTTCACTTTCACCTATTTTCCTAGGTCCGGTATTCCTAATTAGACGAAAAAGAGTGACTATTACTAATAGCCGCAGCTTTTTCCATCTCTCTACACTTTCTCGCGGTTATTCCTCAGACTCTTGATGACCTGGCGTTTAAGGGATTTGCGCTCTGTCATATTTTTACATCAGGAAGGAGGCTTCTGTGGGTGTCCCGTAGGGCAGCCGCGGTTGACGAGATCCATCATTTGTGCTTTGAGCCTGCTCCACAGTTGTTTCTGTCACCATTTGAATAGCTTCGTTAATTTGCATCCAGTGTTCATTGAGTCCTTTTACTGGTGGTTGAACTGATAGGCAATTGGATAGCCCCGCGTCGAAGGCCCATTCGCAACTATCGTTATTGTATCGTAGATGTCCGAGGCCGGTTGCTTGCCAGGCTTTGGGAGAATTGGGCTCTGAAAATCGGTTCTTGTAGCTCCTTTCATTTCGCCTGTTCGCCGGGCGTGATAATCTGCCTGCGCACGTTTCATCATTAGCTGAGGTGACATCGTTAGTGTCACCTCTGCTGGTTTTCCAATACGAGACACTTGATCAGTTGGTTAATTTTGCACGGCTTTTGATCTGATTAAATTTTGATTACTCATGAGTAGCACTGAAAAACCATCGACTTTATTTTATCAACACCGATATTTACCGACTCGGTTTGACGTATCTGAAGCAAAGGTTAACTTACTTGCCAGAAGAGGTGGCATATTTCCAAAAGGCCTCGGGTAAAATGTGCGTGTTAGACAAGCTCATAGTTACATTTCCGTTGTTTTTAGCATACGGAGAATGGGTGAAGGTAACCAAATTTAATTGACTAGTACAATAAAGTGACCAATGGAGATTGAGCTGTGTGAATCGAGTTAAACTACTAGTTTTCAGGCAACATTACTCACTCTGCTTACAGATAAAGACAGTCTTTTAATTATTATTATCAGCTCTCGTTGTAGAATCTCAAAAACGTGCCCGTAATTTCTTGACTTTGTACTAGTCATCTCTGTATCGTTCGCTCATTTTCACCTTCAGGTCTCGCTGCAACGTCGCGCATCCGGAGCTGCCTGTCTCTCTCAAATCGGAATCAGCTCACGTTATTTGGGTTCTGAACTACGTACCGAATTAATTCACCTTGTTCAGGAGCAACTTTCTACCGAGGATGCTGACAAATCAGAACTCACGTCCAGTGCCCCGGAGATTGATACTATCGGTTCCCATACTGTGGCTTGGATGGATCGAACTCGAGATATATTCGCATCATGTGGTCAGGATTTACCTCGGCTGTGGTTTGAATCTGCAATTAATTTCGGGATTCTAAGCGGCAAATCGGATCACACTGTAAGGCGGCTTCTTCTTCAGGGAACAACTTGAATGGGTTTACTCTAGTCTCCAACACATCCATCCATAATCACCATTCACGTGACAACTGTTCACTGTGGATTCGTTCCCCTCCTCCCCGAACGGGTCGCGTTTTCTCTTCTGACTGACTGACTTTGTTGATCTTTGTACATACGTTCGAATATATGTTACTTGATAAACAGTGATAATAAATGGGCATTGTCACACGAACACAACTCTCCAGGCTTGTCATGAATCATGGATGGCATACATCACAGGATTCGTTATACTGGGTTGCTGCAATTATACATAACGACTAAGCTATCCGGTCTACTCATCTAGCGNCTAAGCATCGTAACTCAGAACGAAGGCATAGCAGTGACCGTACCTGTGATGTTTAACGTGAACTTGTTTTACATAAAAGACCTAATTTTACGGGGGCTTTGGATTAAACGGGGGCTGTCGTAGCCTATGCCTGACCAAAATTAAATCAATGACTCTCATGAGCTCCCATGTGTGGTGGTAGACGCAATGGTATAACATGTATGACTTGCATGCAAAGAGCTTGGGTTTCAACTCCAGACTATCCCAGGTTGCGTGCATCATTTGTCAACTCTGGGAAGATCCTGACACTTCTCGGGTTTATATATGAAAGAATGATTCGGTATATATGCAGAAGATGGAGTTTCGGGGATGGTTAATTAACCCGAACTGCTCACAATTCAAATGTGCTTGGTAGTGGATTCGTCATGGTTGGGTCGTTACGTGACACCATGAGTTCGAATCCGGGTCACTAATTTTTTTCACACAGCTCTCTCTATCGCAATTGCATCAGGTCAGATCATATTTGGTGGGCCACATAAATTTTTCACCAGGGGAAACGTTCCACATCCTGTAGTGGTAATCTGGGGGGAAATGGGACTGGAAAACTGTTTCGGCTACTCCGAATAGGTTCATATCCATGCTTTTGGTTTACCTATGTGTTTGTGCGTCTATTTTCATATGATATTATATTTCACACCCGTCTGAGACCAGGCTGTGTGCCAAACAAGTCGTGATACAATAATCTTTATCAAAAATAAACAAGTCCCGTGATTTACGTGTTGGCCGAATACTGCCAGGTTGCATAGACCAATGCAGGTGACCTGTCCTGAGGATTCCATAACCGAAGCCTGACTTGCAAAGCAACGGGGCAAAGTGTGAAAACCGCAATCCATTACGCACCGGTGTCCAGTTCATCGGATCATCCGCCCTTCGGAAGGGGTCAAACATCCAAGGTGCCCAGTTCAGCCGGTGACCACTGCCACAACCAGAAAGGTGTGTGTGCTTCGTACACCTGTAGGTTGGTTTGGAATGGGAGTTTTGGACCAACTCCCCTCGTGGTGAACTGAACCCGGATGTCATTTTTTCTTTCACTTTGGTGGGAAAACACCGAAACGAGAAGGCAGTGGGTAGGACCTCCTCAGCAGAAGCTATTTGAGATGCTTGGTCTAATGGGAGCATTTCGTGAGGTGCAAGGGCAGGGTGACCAGCCGCAACCCCAGACACCCATCCCCTATCATACTGAGAATTTCGGAGACCGCGGACGCGTCTCATAAAATAAGTCGATATACACTAAAACCATCAGGTTACTCATTCGGAGGAGAGTTTATAGTCTGCTGCTCATTCGCGTTCAGAACGCTGCAACCCAGAATCCACAACCTGACCATTCGTCGATGCGACAGTTGAGCAAATGGATTAGGATCAGTTTGCATATCAAAATACAGGACTGTTCTAATACCAACTGTGCAACTACGATACAGCAAAGAAACACTGCTATCTAAAGTTCATTAACAATAATAAGCTAATAATGATAACCGTTTATTGAACGATGTGATGGGAATTTTCAAATGGCTTCATTCGCGAATAGAATGGCGGTTACTGTTAGCCTCATCTATATTCCAAATCGTCATTGGAATCGGGTCTCTTGATGGCTCTACACACGTGTATATTCAAACAATAAAAACGGAAGTAAAACATTAGCATTGGGTTCAATTCACTATGGACTGTGGCTGATGCATATGACTGCAATCGGGACTAATAAAGACATGGAACCAGACGAGTTAAGTTACAAAATAACTCGGTGATGAGTGGGCTCCGTGGACATCACGGATCAGCACCAGTGATGACTTGGGACCTGGGGCTGATCGTATTCCCTCGGGTTAAGCAGAGCTGAATGCTACCAGGCGCGTCCAAGGGTTGTGGATAGGGGGATATCGTCACTGAAGAAGGTTAGCTGTGAATAAGTTGTGGCATACTGCAACAAGTAAGCAGTAGCGAACTAACAGCCATGGCACTACCAGGATGTGGTGGGTTTCACGCTGGTCACCTGGATCCTGTTTAAAAGACGCATAAGCCCAATGACGGTGTCGTGACAACGGTTTGTGACTGGCCTTTTAGAACTGAAGTCGTTGATCCCCCCCCCCCTCACATCCGAGGCGAGGGGTTACTTCCTGCTGCCTTGCACTTCGCACTTGGTTGTGGTGCGCCCTCAAAATAACAAGCGCCGAGTGACACTGGGGACGCCTCTCGTACCAAACTCCCAAGGAACTTCATTATCGTGATCATGTCTGGAGCCGGTTTATCCTCTCCACGGAGCCAGCTGCAGTAAAGTAAGTAAGCACCAATCATCCTTGGCAGTTGGATGCGATACCGACAGAGATCGCCATCTAGTTTTGCCTCCATTAGTTTGCGGCCAACTGTCAACGAATAGTCAAGCCCATTNGAGTGGTTGATGATGCAAACCACAACAAATAGTTAGGGCAACCGTAAGAAGCCACAAGGTCATCTCTGGCAAAACAAATCGCGACAACCAGACTGATAATTGATCTCGCTATCTCATTCAACCCACTGAAAAAGTTATCGTTATGCGAGATTTGTGTCTATTAGTGCGGCTTTCTTCGCTCAATTACACGATCCCGTTTTGTGCGGCCAAGACCTATTGACGGAACCAGTTTGCTTGTCATGGGGATTGACCCTTTGCTTCTAATTTTAGAAGCCCTGGTCGACTATCTGTGCACACGTCCGTTCACTAGGACTTACCAAACCAATGTGTTTGCGTGTTTAACGTCTTCGAGCCTACGAAATCCTCAGTATGATTGGGGGGGGGGTGTCTAGGGTTGCGGCTGGTTACCCTTCCCTTGCACCTCGCTAAATGCTCCCAAGCGTCCCAAATAACCTCCGATGAGGAAGCCCCATTCATTACTTTCCTAAGACGGAGGTGTTTTCCCAAAAAAGTGAGAGGAAGAAAATCCAACATCCGGGTTGGTGGACCACTGATAGTTCACCTAGGGGAGTTGGCTAAAAACAATGATTCCAAACCAATGAAGAGGAGGCGTACGAACCACATACATCTTCTCGCTTAAAAGACTTCATGTGAGGTGAACGAGTATTGGAGAATGATCCTAACCACCTTTGTTGATGATCGTGATCCTTAGTCTCGAACAAGAAGTTTTTCGCAACGAGAGAAGCAGCCGAAAGAACTGCAGTCCCATGTTACAAAGAATAAGGGAATGTTGGACAGGATTTTAAATCGAGACCTCCGGACCGTTGAGCGGTTGACCGATATGGCTTGATCAGTCATTCTGCTCCTGTTACTGGTAGCCTTAGTTGGCTCTTGTGGTGATGACGTGCACAGTTGAGCGATCTTTACGAATGTGATATTATTGTTTTTATCACACACCAGTGTACGAATAACAGCAAATGGGGCGCACCTTAAAATGTGGATTGTGAGAGCCAGGCACATAAACCCTTGACAGAATCGGTGGGGTATTGATTAGGACGACAGTGGCGCTGTCCACCACGAGGACATGGAAGAGAGTTGCAATTATGAGCAGTGGTGGTGGTGGTGACATGTGTTTTCAGGCGAAAGGGTCATAGGACCAGACATTTACTAGAGAGTATTCAACGGCACCGTTAGTTGTCCAACAAACAATAAATCAATGTCAACTTGTTTTCTTCAAGGTCAACTATAACGCAAGAACATAAATCAAACACATGGATTTTTGAGTAGAATTTCAGAGTTGTTATTGGTTAGGGCAGCTGTTGTTTATAGGTGAAGTTTGTCAATTAGGTGAATATAAAGGAGGATTGCTTAACGGGACGTGGACGACTCGAGATTGACGTCACAAATGATATGTTTTGGAATCATAAGCTGACTGATCGGACATCTTTTGTATTTGCTGTGGTCAGGATGCAACAGTTGATCAATTGGAACCGGTAAACAGGATCAAAATAGAGTCTGCAAAGGGGGGAGCGGGGAGTGTGTGTGTGTGTGTGTGCGTGTGCGCGCGTACAGAAAACACCGTTAGCCAGTAGTGTGACGCGGTACGATTTAAGATGATGACAACTTCCACAATGGTGTTTCGCCCGTTGAGTGGTTACTGGAGCAATCGACATGTCAAAACACGAGTAAACAAATACACAAGAAATAACATAAGATTATTGCATCACTGTCTTCCTAAGAGAGTGCGTCATGAACAACCACTTTATTGTGACCTTGAGAACAAAGCGGAATACTAAACAATCTGACCACTATAATTGTGTAAATATGGAAAGTGGTATCACAATGACCGGCTGGCGTCCGGGGTAGAGCTATCCACAAATTGGGGATTTGATTCACATCGCGACTATGCTGATTAGTAAATGATTGAGCGAGCAGGTCACCGCCACAGTTGTTACCAGATGGTATTGATGTGCAATCTTTGATGAATTACGAGGCACTCGACAGACCAACTTAGTCGCTTGCTGACGAGCATAAGTATTAGATAACCCAAATTTCCTTTGTAACTCAGGGAGTTGAAACATTTATATTCGGGTAAGTAAGCTTTACTTCTACGCCTTTAGGTTTAAAAAGCTCGGCGTTCCCTCAAATGTCATTCTTAAATTTGTGACTGCTTGCATTCTTCCACATTGGTTGTACTGTTCGCCCGTATATTTTCCTGGTCTGAAAGAGAAAGACTTTATTCTCTTTTCCAGATCTCTTAAACTTCTTT